GGGTCGTAAGTTTGACAAAGCGAAAAAGGCTCTGGTCCGAAGCGGCAGTAATCGAAAAATCGGCCTTGTCGCGAATGCGTTGAGACAGCAAGAATCTAAGATTGTTCCTGATACTTCACCGTCAATATCCTTCCAAATTTTTTTCTTAAGTAACTTTCTCTTAGTATACATTGATAATGCTCGAGATGAAATAAATTTCTAAAGCAATACTGCTGAAATTTTCAGGCAGAACTTCTAAGTGATGGTCGAGTAAAGTCATCACTACCCCAAACCTGGTGCTTCAAAACTTCATTCGTTTTGAATTTTGAATCTTGAATGTGATAAGCCCGATATCACAAATTGTTCCCGGTCTCGATAAGCATCTTTGCAATGAACTGTGATTTGACTTACCAACTATGAGCGATTAAAAAGACTATGATCAAGTGAGTCCCTACCAGTAACTTCTTTAAATACTGTAGAAATAGTGCTCACCTTCCCTATCCTTCTCTCCTCTAATTTAACAAGTTATTCGAAACCTCGAGACTATCCCTCCAAACGACTGTTTCTGTTCCATGCGTACCAAACATATTTCATACGACCCTCAGGTGATGCAAATATGAGATGATGTGATTGTCTCACTAAAAGAAAATAATTATCAGTGAGTTTCGGAGTCGATATGCATAGCTACTCCGGACAGGCCTGATTATGAGTCCAGGGAAGAAAAAAAGGTGCAATGTATTGATAAGGGCAAAACTACATCACTCATTCTAATGTCGAAGGCCACCACCGGTAAGTCTATGATCTGTTTAACTACGAGAAAAAAACTTGTTTTTCGATAGCAGAGTTCTGAAAGAACATATCGCGCTATTGATATTGCTCAAAAAAATTTGGATTTATTTTGCTACTGGTATTACAAAAACTCACTTCAGTACTGTCTTGCCTAGTGGTTTTGCCAAATCACCCCTCAATGTTACGGTACTTGTAATTCTTCAGGTTCTTTGGCCTTTCCAAATTCGCTAAGTGCGCGTTACGTGACATCTGGTTCTCAAAAATTTTTCTCAATCTTATTTCCAGAAATCGATTGGCCATTTTTTTTAGAAAGCATAAGATTAATTAACTATACCTTTTACAGGGATAGTCGCCGCTGTGGGCATCGTGGCCATCGTGTCACTAGTCCTTAACATCCTCATATGGGTCAAAGTAAAGGACGACTACTCTGACACCAAGACTAATTCCGAACCAAATGTAAAATACGAACAAATTCCTATAAAAATAAATCCAATCCCCACAGCGGTAAGGCACACAGCGCCAAAAAGCAGACCAACAAAGACAAGGCTCAGAACGATTACTAGTGTGGGGAAGGGTAGACCATTTGGTTCAAACCCAGAGCCTATGTATGTCAATGATACACACTTTTGTCCAAGTTATGGAGAGCCGGACAATAAGCCCGAATATCAGGTAAGTCAGTGTGTTTATTTACTTCTTGTGCACTCTATTAGGTTGGCTAACAAAAAATTTTGAGGAAGCTGCTTCGTTCATTCTCAGTGGACTCGATCAACATGTTGACCCTTGCGATGACTTCTATACCTTTGCATGCAATACTGTAAGAGAGAAATTAAATCAAAAAGATCCAGAAAACATTACTGTAAATGTACTAGTATATAAAAACCCACAACGCGTCTGAGATTGGAGTTGAACGAATAGGAACTTACGATGAAGCGCAGGATGCTGTGAACTTGGAAATTACGGATGCGCTTTTACCTGTTGAAGTTAGTGATACTTCCAGGTCAGAAACCGAACGAATTGTGAAGGCGGTAAGTAGGAATTTTTGAAAATTTGCATTTCACATGATAAAGAGGGACTGCTTAGTACAAAATTTTGATTTTAGGCTCTACTTGCGTGCGTTCATCATAGCCGGGCCAAAACACCCATAGACAATGTGAAAGATGTATTAACAGAAATGAAAGAATTGTATGTTTTTT